TAATGCTTTGTAACAGGCTTCTCAGTAAGGTTTTATTAAGCAGCTATTCTGTACCAGGCACTAGGGAGAGTATGACCAAAACCAAGTCCTCCACAGTCCCTCTCTAGAAATTCCAGCTCTAGTAGGGGACATGCGAGCATATGGTGCGGCAGTGTGAGGAGTGCCGTGGAGGAGGGGACAGAGGGACAGACGTCGGGTGGTCAGGTTGGGTCTCCCCGTGTAGGGTGTTTAGAGCTGAGACCTGGAGGAGGCAGGGAACACGTTGGAGGGGGCGAGGTGGGGGTGAGCAGAACCTCTTTCTAGAAAAGTACTGCAAGTGCATTCATTGACCCCACAATTAGGACGAGGCGGGAAGCCCTGCGGTGGACGATGGTGGCTGGCTCCTCTGGGTTGGCAGTGTGACTGCTGGACAAGGGCCCACTTTATTCCTTTATTCCTGCTGTGCTCCCGCGTCTGGACTGGGTCCCGTGGAGCCCCAAGACCTGATTACACATGCTGACCCTCCTCCCAGGGAAGCGCACTTGGCTAAGAGTGTGGGGGTGTTTGTGTGGCTGTTGAAATACTGTGTCAGGGGCTGGGAACCGGAGGGACGGGCTTTGTTATCTGCGCATGAGGAAGAGGTTTGGAAACGCAGCAGCTGGGCTGGGGACCGGCGACGCTCTGCGGTGGGGACTGTGGCAGGCAGACCGGGCAGTAGCTCAGCCCTGGCGGCTGGGAATGAGTTGAGAGGGAGCTCTCCAGGAATCACAGGTGATGAGCTCAACCCTAAGGCCTCTGACTTATTGAGACCATGGATAGTTAAGTCATCTCCACATTTGAACACATACAGGGTTGTGAAGGCCTTGGCTAATAACCCTTCTTGTCTATTTCTCCTGTTTCGATTTTCCTCATGGGGAAACCAAGGTACAGAGAGTGAGCCTGGACAGTAGGCAGGCTCCTCCCTCCCTTGTAGTCTCCTCTAGGTACAGAGCATGCTCAGGACATCGGGAAATGTCACTTCAGTGAGATGGTGCAGACACAGGCTCTCTGCCTACCCCTACCCTTACCTGCCTCCATCACATGGACTGGGGTTGGAGTCAGGTAGGCCATCCCTCCCAGTTCCTAGTATGCTGGGCCTCTGTCAGACCTGCCCTGACATGCTTATGCAGTGTCCATCTTCCCCGTCAGACCAGGAGCCTGGCTCGGGGATGGGCCTGTGTCGCCCCCTGTCGTTAACTAGTGCTTTGGGAAGGAGGGAGGGAGGGGAAGACAACAGATGGCCCTGCCAGACCCTTCCCTGTCTAGACTCCCAAATACCCAGCTTGGTGGCTTTGGGGGTATTGGGCTACCCCAAGAAGCTGAAGTGGGAGTCATATTCTAGCAGTGATTCGGTCATGCATAAAATCATTGAGCACCTACTGTGTGCCCAGAAGGAGCCCCGAGGACACAGTGCACAACAAGAATCAGGTCCCTGCCCTGTGGGATGGACCTCCCAGCTGGGAACCAGAGAAAATACACAGGATGAGAAGGTAAATGGTATTGGAGTACTTGGAGGGTGAGAAGGATAAGGCACTGAAGAGGGAAAGAGACTAGGGAGGCCTGTCATTTCAGGTCGGGAGTCACTGAAGGAAAAGAGACTAGGGAGGCCTGTCATTTCAGGTCGGGGCCCGGGCAGGCCTGCAGAGAAAGTAACGCCTGAATGAGGAGAGGGAGGGAGCCCTGAGCGTGCCTGCAGACGAGAGAAGAGCCCTGAGGTAGGAGCAGGCCTGGAGTTGTGAGCAGGGAAGCTGGCACGACTGGAGAAGGAGTGAGTTGAGGTCAGAAATGGGGGGAAGGAAAATTTGTAGGGCCTTGTAGATCGTGGTAAAGACTGGCTTTTACTCGGGTGAGGTGGGAGGCATGGAGGGGTCCCAGGAGAGGAAGGCCGAGGTTTGGCTTTAAAAGGGTCAGTGCCACGGGGAGAGAGCAGGCTTGGTAGAAGCTTTTTAACGTTGGTATGACCCTGGAATCTAGCACACGGTTCCAAAGTGGCAAGGAGCCCAGTAAAGAAGGCAGGTGGTGCGGCCCAGCTGGCTGGCTCAGTTAGTTGGAGCGTCGTCCCTTACACCAAAGGTTGCAGGTTTGACTCCCAGTCAGGCACATGCCTGAGCTGCAGATTAGACCCAGGGTGCGTGCGGGTGAAGGCAGCGGGTGAGGGACCCTTCCTGCTGCCCACTGACAGACTGGGGAGGAAGCGGGGGCTTTCCAGCACCGTCTCCTGCATATCCTTGACCCACACAGACCAGAGACTGCCAGCACATGCAGGGTCCTGGGGGCCACAGCTGACAGGTCCTGGTCCCATAAACATGATCCACAGCGACCTGGCTCTGATGGGGGAAGACACCCAAGATGCAGGATGGCAGGATGGAATGCCCAGTGACATCGAGTCAGGAAAACTCCCTAAGAGAAGTGACAGGCAGGTAGACCCTGGGAGAGGAGGAGGCGGGGCCAGGCCTTCTAGGTACCAGGTTTGGCTGGGCAGAGGTCTGCAGGGACCTTTCTCATCCCACATGCCCCTTTACTCGTCCTTGAAGGGAGATTGTCTCTAGCAGGTGCTGAGCCCAGGGCCTTGAGCCGGAAAAGAACTGAGGTTTGCTGTGGGGGTTGGAGAACTGCTCCATTTTTGGGGTGGCTGCTGCAGGAAGAGCAGCGAGTGTTTCCTCTTGTCCCTGTGGAGAGCTGGAGTGTGACTGTCCTTGGGAACTGGGTCAGCTGATGGGGGTGGGGTGGGTGATCCTGGATCCTCCAGCTGGTGTCCTCATTGCCCCTGCTCTGCGTGGCCAGTGCCCATGCTGGACAAGGTCCTCATTGATCTGAGCTCATGGTGTCCCCCTTACCCTACAGAGCTTCAGAGAGGAATTGCCCCCAGGTGGCTTCACAGTGGCCATGTGACTTGAGAGCCACTGCCTGCAGACAGATTATCTGAACTCCACATCTCAGCTCCACTGCTGAACTTGGGCCAAGTCACTTCACCTTTCCGGGCCTCAGTTTTCTTATCTGTAGTACAGGCATTACAGAGATGACTACCTGCTGAGGTGTTCACTTGTGAGGAGCATACTGTGGCCAACACAGAACAAGGGCTGAATGTTGGTCATAGTTTGTTAGGCTACTATGATGGGAAGGCGAAATGAGTTCCTTGAACTCATTTTTTTTTCTCTTGTGACCTGTGGGTAGAAATTCTAGATCTCTCTCTCTCTCTCTCCCCCTTTCTCTCTCTCTCTCTCTCTCTCTCTCTCTCTCTCTCTCTCTCTCTCTCTTTCTCTCTCTCTTTTGTTTAATCCTCACCTGAGGATATTTTTCCCATTGATTTATTTTTTTTATATTTTAGAGAGAGAGAGAGTGGATGGAAGGGAGGGAGGAAGTGGGGGGGGGAAGAGAGAGAGAAAGAGAGAGAAACATTATGTGAAAGAGACATCGATTGGTTGCCTCCCAAATGGGCCCCAACTGGGGCTGGGGATTTAACCTGCAATCCTGGTATGTGCGTGCCCTTGACTGGGAATCGAACCCGAGATCCTTCGGTGCCTGTGCTGACGATCTAACCACTGAGCCCACTGGCCAGGCTCCATCCTTTCTTTTGAGGCAGCTAATGATATGTCTGTGCTGTGGTTTATATAGCCTCGTCTCTTCCTGGTGGACATAGAAGTGCTTTCTAGTTTTTCACTTTGTGAAAGTACTGTGGGACACATTTTTGCATCTCTGTAGTGGTCCAGTTCTTTAGGCTGTTTGCTGTGTGACTTATTTCCCTCTTTTTAGCATCTCTGTTTGGCAGGAGCCTTGATCTCTTAGCCTTGTTCCCAACATTTACTATGAAAATTCAAACATAAGGAAAAGTTGAGGGATTATTTGGTAAATACCTGTAAACTCAGTAAATACCTATGTCCTACAATGAATATTTTTTATTCTTTATCCCATATCTGGATTTGGATTTCTCTAGCTTAATGACAGAACCAGCACTGCCTTGTTAGTTACTTATTTTCCCCTCCGTCTCAGTGTCAATATGGCTTTCAGACACCCTGGGCTCAGAAGGCATGCAGTGGCCTCTTACATCCACTTGAGGCCCTGCCCAGAAAGCATTTCGTCTGAAGGGTTCATGTCTAGGTGGGGAACCCCTTGAATAGCCAGGAGGGGCGGAGGGACATTGAGACAGGCTTCGGTGAGGCAAACAGTAACGCTCTATTCCCCATACCGTGCGGGTGCCTGGGGGAAAGACACATGGGTCCCAGGGACGTGTGCCAGCTGGCAAGTGTTGGTGGCATGGAAGCACACTGGGACACAGATTTGCATCTTTCACCATGACCCACGGTGAGGGAGGTTCTGCGTTCTGACCCGGGACTCAGTCTCGTGTATGACACCACGAAGCTTCATCAGCTTCTGGTTGCTCAGTGGTTGAATCAGGAGGTCACTGTTCGATTCCTGGTCAGGGCACATACCTGGGTTGTGGGCTCGATCCCTAGTAGGGGGCAGCCGATCAATGATTCTCTCTCATCGATGTTTCTATCTTTCTCCTTTTCCCTTCCTCTCTGAAATCACTAAAAATATATATTTTTTAAAATGTATATAACCCATGATCTGAGTGATATGTCATATTTCCTCTTTTATTCTGTTCATCCAAAAAGAATAAATGTGGTCACATCCATCTGTTGATGTTTTTTTTTTTTTTACTCATAGTATGTCACTATGTGTATGTAGTTTTGCAAAATGCTTCATGAGAATGTCCGTTCCCTGGGGATGAGATCTTGCCAGTTTTGCTCCTTGTGGAATCCCTGAGGTCTGGAAGGGGGCTTGGTCTGTAGGAGCGCCCCAACCCCCATCACATACTTGTCACGAGGATGACTCTATTGCTCTGTGGATTCCTAGAATGATTGTGACTGATTCTTCACTTTCTCTGCTTGCAAAGCACCTGTCCCACAAGGCTTTCTGCTCCCCACCCGCTATAAGACTGCTTCTCTTTCTCATTTTAAACATCTTTCTTCCCTTTGCAGAATATGCTGAATTTTTGCACTGCAAGTCCAAAAAGTTTACAGACTTTGATGAAGTCCGACAGGAGATTGAAGCGGAGACCGACAGGGTCACGGGGACCAACAAAGGCATCTCCCCAGTGCCCATCAACTTGCGGGTCTACTCGCCGCACGGTAGGCAGCATGAGCACGTACCTATCGCGGGGGCAGAGGAGAGCTGACGGCGCCGGTCACAGGTTGGGTCGGCCTGACTGTCACAAAGAATATGTCCCCTCACATCTTCTCACCTGCACCCAGCCCTCTTGATCTGTCGCTTCCCACTTTTGATAGAAAGGTGATACTGAGAAACTGATCTCAGCTCTAAGGACAACAGCTGCCAGGAAGACTGTCGGGAGTGGTGGGGCCTGGGGCAAATTGGAGCTAGATGCTCCTTTTACTTCTTTATGGATTTATTTTTAATTGAAAGAAAATTTTAATTAAAGTTGACATTCAGTAGTTTATTAGTTCCAGGTGTACAGCATAGAGGTTAGACCAGGGGTGAGCAAGCTTTTTGACTCGAGGGCCACAATGGGTTCTTAAACTGGACCGGAGGGACGGAACAAAAGCATGGATGGAGTGTTTGTGTGAACTAATATAAATTCAAAGTAAACGTCATGACATAAAAGTGTACGGTCTTTTTTTTTTTTTTTTTAGTTTTATTCATTTCAAACGGGCCGTAGTTTGCCCACGGCTGGGTTAGACATTTATATAACTTAGGTGATACCCCCCGAAAGTTTAGTATCCACCTGCCACCATACATAGTTATGACAGAATTATCGCCTGTACTCCCCATGCTATGCTTTACCTCCCCGAGACTATTCTGGAATTGCCATTTCTGTCTGCTCCTTTTAAAGGAGCAGATACCACTTGGCTCCCAGGTGATGCTGGCCACATAGTGACAAGTGAAATCAGCCAGGTCTTTCAGTTTCTCCAGAGGACCCAGAAAGACTTCTCTGCAAAAGTCCTGCCTTTAACACTGTGTCATTGAGAGAGCACCTATGGTCATCCACGGCCTCGGGCCAGAGCACAGATTGCTAACCTAGATAGCATTTGGGGAATAGTCCAGCAGACTCTTAACTCCTCAGTATGGGATCCTTGTGATGAGTTTTAAAATTTATTTTTGAATAAATTATACTATAGGTGGCCCACATTAAAAAATTACAAAAGAAAATACAGTAAATACCCACTCTGGCCCCAATATTGCAAATATATTTCATGTTCTTCAAATAATCATCAAGCATCATTTAAGCATTTATGAATATATGCATGTGTATATTTACTCAAATTGTAGCATTATTTAAAAACCATTTATGCCTCTTTTTTGTGTTTTTGCATCTCGGAGTGTGTTTCTTCTTATGAGAGTATCATCTTTTTGTTTTTAATGTTTCCTTAGTATTGGCTGAATCTTTGGGTTGAAATTTATTTAGCCATTTAAAGCAAGTTTAGTATGCAAATACAGATGTTCTCATTTAAAACTATATCACCGAAATAGAGTAGAACAGGGTGTCTGTAGGATAAGATCCCAGAAGGGCGGTATTGGATCAAAAGGTGTGACCCAGTTGGAGCAGCAAGAGGAATCCTGAGGCCTGGCACCTGGTATTTGGGGAAATGAGCTGAGTGGCTGAAGGACTGTGTGTGCCTCCCCTCCCTCAGCTCTGATGACCTGTCCTTCGGTTTCCCTTCCAGTGTTGAACTTGACCCTCATAGACCTCCCAGGCATCACCAAGGTACCCGTGGGGGACCAACCCCCAGACATCGAGTACCAAATCAAGGACATGATCCTGCAGTTCATCAGCCGGGAGAGCAGCCTCATCCTAGCCGTGACCCCTGCCAACATGGACCTGGCCAACTCAGATGCCCTCAAGATGGCCAAGGAGGTCGACCCACAAGGTAACCACCAAATCCTACAGCAGCAGCTCCCTCTTCCAGGTTCCCCTGAGCATTGCAGCTTGCCGGCATCTTTGATTCCAGCCAAGTCGCTAGTGTTCTCTTTGGTGGTGGCTAGTGTTTGTTTGTTTTTTAATTGATTTCAGAGAGGAAGGGAGAGGAAGAGAGAGAGAGAAATATCAATGACGACAGAGGATCATTGATAGGTTGCCTCTCACAGGCCCTTCACTGGGGGTCATCCTGCAACCCAGGCATATGCCCCAACTGAGAATCAAACTGTGATCTCCTGGTTCATAGGTCGACACTCAACCACTGAGCCACACTGGCCGGGTGGCCAGTCTTTATTGATTGATTTGCCACGCACCAGGTTTATTCTTATGGCCAACTACCTGGGATTGGTGCTGTGGCTGTGTTAATTTCACATGAGGGAAACTAGAGCCTGGGTAGGTGACACTGTGGCTTGTCCCAGGTTGTACTGCATTTTGGGGAGGCGTGTGGGCGGAGGGGGCGGCTGTTGGACCTGTGGTGGCCTGGGGCTTCTTCCTAACAGCGCCCTTCACCTCGGGGCTCTTTTAGGCCTGCGGACCATTGGCGTCATCACCAAGCTTGACCTGATGGACGAGGGCACCGATGCCAGGGATGTCCTAGAGAACAAGCTGCTCCCGTTGAGAAGAGGTGTGGCTGTGTGGGAGGCTGGGGGCTCTGGGGTGGGGCAGCGGGAGGCCACAGGGCCAGGGAGGAGGACCTGGAGGGCCACAGGGCCAGGGGAGGGCAGGAAAAATAGGTGGGGTGGAGCTGGAGAGCCAGAGCACCTCTGCTTTTTTAAAACAAAGTTTGTTTTTGTTGTTCTCATTACTGAAACCTCAGCAGATGCTCCCAGATACATTTTCCCATCACCCTTTTCCCCACTGCCTAGAAGTCACTGCTTTTCTGTACCACTGCAAACCCTTCTAGCTTCTTTTTTTCTAAGTGAACTTACGTATCTTTTTCTTCTGTTTGTATACATTCAATTTTCAATTATGCATCTAACACCCGTTCATTTGGGGAACATGAGAAAACAAATACCCTTGAACAACACGGGTTTGAACTGTGCAGATCCGGGACACTGTATATGGATTTTACACTGACCCGCACAATTCAAACCTGTGTTGTTCAAGGGTCCACTCCCGTTGGGAACCGGAATATGTGGAGAGCTGGCTATGGTTATATGTGGATTTTCAGCTGCATTGGACGTAGGCTCCCCTAACCCCTGCATTGTTCAAGAGTCAACTGTATGTAGAAAGAAGAAACCAAAAGCATCCACAGCCTGATTCCCCCAGATAGCCACTAGTCAGCACTTTGTGGCTATACTTCCAAAATGTTCACAAGAATTTGTAACTTCTATTAATTTTCATGCTTCCTGTTATGAGAATTTTCAAACATTCTTTTTTTTAAAAAAATACATTTTATTGATTGTTTTACAGAGAGGAAGGGAGAGAGATAGAGGGCCAGAAACATCGATGAGAGAGAAACATCGATCAGCTGCCTCTTGCACATCTCCCATTGGGGATGTGCCCACAACCCAGGTACATGCCCTTGACCGCAATCGAACCTGAGACCCTTCAGTCCGCAGGCCGACGCTCTATCCACTGAGCCAAACCGGTTTCGGCTTTCAAACATTCTTGAAAGTAGAATGGACCCAGCCTCGGTGGTTATCAACATACAACTAATCTTGAGTCTTTCGCATGTTCTTGCCTCCCGTTGTCATTTTCTTCCTGGGGGTTTATAAAGCAAATCCCAGGCATCATATCATTTTACACATAAATACCTAACATTCTGCTTGAACGGCTCCCCCCTGCCCCAGCCCCTTTGTTTTTTTCTGTAACATTCATTTGTGGAAGACGTCAGATCACATCCCACACTTGGGATTTGGCCAATGGTAGTTCCCTGTAAACTGGTAATTAAATCTAGACAGAAGCCTGATTAGGCTCAGTTTTAGGTTCAGATCTTCTGATAGGAGTAACCTAAATTTATTTCTTTATTTATTCGTTTATTTATTTATTTTTGAGAGAGTGGAAGGGAAAGGGATAGAGAGAGAAATATCAACGAAAGAGAAACATCATCAATGACTGCCTCCTGCACCCCGCCCCTCCCCCGCCACTGGGGATCGAGCCTGCAACCCAGGCATGGGCCCTACTGGAAATCGAACCTGTGACCTCTTGGTTCATGGTTTGATGCTCAACCACTGAGCCACACCAGCCGGTCCTAAGTATTTCTATTTCCAAAAAAATGAGTAGCAAACATTTATTAAGTGTCTGATATGTACCAGGCATTGTTCTAAGCTCTTGATATGTGGGAGCCCACTTAATTCTGATAACAACCAACATGGTAGCTCTATTCTCATCCCCACATTATGGATGAAGAAACTGAGGCATAGTCTAAATCTTTTGCCCCAGCTCACACAGCTAGCAAGTGATGGAGTAGTTTTTTGTTTGTTGGTATTAATCGTCATCTGAGGATATTTTTTCCATTCCTTCTCAGAGAGGGTCAGAGGGAGGGAGGGGAGAGAGAAAGAGAAACATCGATGTGTGTCTTGGACTGGTTGCCACCCACTGCGGGTGGGGAGTGAACCCGCAACCCAGGCATGTGCTCCTGACTGGGAATTGAACCCAAGACCCTTCAGTACACAGGCTGACACTAACCATGGAGCCACCGGCCAGGGCCGTGGAGCTGGTTTTGAATCTCAGCCCTCCAGTGCCATGCTGCTTTGTAACCTGGTTTCCCATTTCATGTAGCAAAATAGCAGAACATTTCCCCACAACAGACAAATATTCTTCAAGATTGCTTCAAAACGTCCTGCACAGTTCCTTATATGGGCGTGTGTGGGCGGTTGTTACTCATTCCCCATTTGTTGAACACTTAGGTTGCTTCTGGTTTTTCCCTGTGGCCGGGTGCTGACTCTCCACTGAGGGTTTTTATTCTTTAAGGCCATTTCTTCCCTAATTATCTTGCTGACTTTCCATTCCTTCCCTCTGGCTCTGCACCTTGCCTGCACCATTTCGATCTTGTGTTTTGCTCCCGGGGTTTCCCTCCTTGATATCTGGGATAGCCGTGGGGGGGGGGGGGGAGGGGGGCATTCCGACCTTGATTTCCACCTCCCCCCAGCACTGCTGAGGCACTGAGGAGAGGTGGCCCCAGGTCAGGACAGAGCATGGTCAGGAGCACAACCTAAAACCTGTTTCGCTGTGAGGATCAGAGGCTGAAGAGCAAATCCGTGTCAGAGGTTTAGGAAGGGTCAGTGCTGCAGAGGGAAGCAGACCCCGTCGTCCCCGTGCTCTCCACCAGCAACGCAACCCCGCACTCCTTTGCACATGTCTGACCACCATCTTAGACTCCGAGGGACACTCGCTGTGCTCAGCAATGCTGCCTGGTGGCTGGATGACGTGCACTCCTCACCTTCCTCCCTCCCCACAAACTGTTTATCTGTCTCCCCTCCTTGCCTTCCTGTCCGTTTCCAAGAAAGGGACTCTTCCTGTCTCCACTCAAACACTTGCTTCCGACTTAAGACCTCAGGCTCTCAGGTTTCTCCTCTTGCTCCGTGGCTTTCAGAATCCCTCCAATTGGATCCTTTTTCTTGGCCTATGAAAGACTCAGAACCACAGCACACTTGCAGGAACCCAAACCTAAGCCAGACTCCTCTCTCTACCCCCTACTGTATCCTTCTGCTCTTGATGACAGGGATGGTAGAGACTGTGGGCTTCCCATGGACCTGGGCTCAGATCTGGGTTCTTGTGCTCCTTTCTGAGACCTTGCAAGTGAGCTCACTTTGGCCTGCCTTGGTTCCCTCATCTACAGAAAAATGGACATAATGACAGATACGGAGAGGACAGAAAGCAAGTCTGCCTAAGACTCAGCAGGTGCCACTGCCCTTCTCCCCAAGAGAAGCGTTAAAAGACCCCCGCTGTCAAGAGAATGGGGATAAATATATATGTTTGTCACTTCAGTTCTTTGGCCACTTATCTGCATTCCACTTTTCTAACTTTTATTAATAGCAATGAATAACTGCCTCTGTTCATTGAGCACCTACCATTTGTTGGCCACTAAGCTAAGTTCTTTTATTTTTTATTTTTATTTTTATTAATTAATTAATTAATTTTTAAAATATATTTTATTGATTTTTTACGGTTAGGGCTATTTTTTTTATTTTTAAATAAATATGTTTTTATTGATTTTAGATAGAGGGGGAAAAGGGACGGGGAGAGAGAGAGATTGATGAGAGAAACATCAATTGGCTGCCTCCTGCACACCCCCTACTGGGGGTCAAGCCCACAAACAGGCCTGTGCCCTGACTGATGGTGCTCAACCAGCTGACACACCAGCCAGGCCTACTGAGTGCTTTATCTCTCACAGTGCCCGTTTGTGTACCTGTTTGCTTGGTGCCTTGTGTCCATGCTCAGGGGCTCCTGGATGTTCTAGCTTTTTAAAAATATATTTTTTTATTGATTTCAGAGAGAAAGGGAGAGGAAGAAAGAGATAGAAACATCAGTGGTGAGAGAGAATCATTGATTGGCTGCCTCTTGCACACCCCACACTGGAGATCGAGCCCGAAACATGGGCATGTGCCTGACTAGGAATCGAACTGAGACCTCCCGGTTCATATGTTGGTGTTCAACCACTGAGCTACACCAGCTGGGCTGTTCTGACTTTTTGAACACCATCCCCTTTCCCGTCTCTATTTTGTCCTCTTCTTTATGTTTTCTTGTTCTACTTTTTATTTCTAAATATTGCAAATCTTTTCTTCACATTAGCATTTTTATTCTAAAAAATGGTTTCTCACATTTGAAAAAAAAAATTCCAAAATGGTACTGAAGGCTCTTAATTAAAGAGACTGTTTCTCAACCCCCTCCCCCAAGTCCCATTTCTCATGTATTCAAAGTTAACTGTTTCTTAGGTTTCATTCAGCAAATTTTACTATAAATACATTCATTTTGAAAACTTGCTCATGTTTTTTTTTAAGTGTTTCTGTAGTTTCCTATTTTATGTGTAAATTAGTGATCTCTCAAGAATTAATTTTGGTAGGTACCCAACTTGACCAACAGCGACCATTGAATAACTCCACTTTCTTCCCACTGAATTAGAAGAGTTAGCTGTTAGTTCCCACCTGCTGCTGGGTATGGTTTTGGACTTCCTATTGCACTCATCTCTCTGGACACATATGCCCCAATATACCTAACCTTTTCCAATATAGTAGCTTTACAATAGGTTTTAATTTCTGGCAAGATAGCTGTCTCCGAATTGCCCTCCTTTTGGAGATTTTTTTCTTACTGTCTTCAAAGCTCAGCTTCTGGATCTCACCTTCATTAAAGCTTGTTTCCATCCACCCCCTTCACACCAAGCTGCATATACTCTCCTTCTTCCAAACACTTGTGTTGCTTTTCAAGACTTCACTCTGTATTTGCGTTTTCCGTGTTTCTAAGTAATGTGTACAGCTTGTAACCCCATCTGTCAGTGACTCGTAGGACAGAATCCACGTATTCACCTGCACCTTGCTTAGCTCTGTGCCTGGGCTGCAGTGGGCACCTGGGCCCTTCGGTCCGCCTGGCAGTCGCCCTGCCCTGACCCTCTCTCCCCGCAGGCTACATTGGTGTGGTGAACCGAAGCCAGAAGGACATCGAGGGCAAGAAAGACATTCGTGCGGCACTGGCGGCCGAGAGGAAGTTCTTTCTCTCTCACCCCGCCTACCGGCACATGGCTGATCGCATGGGCACCCCACACCTGCAGAAGACCCTGAATCAGGTGTGTCAGTGGTTTTGTGCAGTTGCACTTGTGCAATCAAGTGTTTGGTAGTGATGAGGGCCAGAAAGAGACTGGGAGGCAGAGACAACAGCTCAGGGGAGCAAAGAGGGAAGGAAGTGTCCAAAGGCAGGGGCCCTCCAAGAAAGGAAATGAGTCTGCCTGGGCAGGGGCTGGAGGATCAGGAAGGGAAGTAAAACTACCCGCAAGCTGCCAGGGCCTCCTGAGAGCCAGCGGCCCAGCTGGGCTCCTGAGGGCTGCACATCAGATGCTTCTGGGGCGGTGGTCCCCCTGCCCCTCTATTTCCCCACGAGTTACATGGAGCCGCTCTAATGCTTTAGGATGCTTTCTGAGACTGAAGGGATCTGCAGAGCACGCAGTCCACCTTTAGACTAAATCTGTAGCTCCCGCAGAGGGCCGCTGGTCACAGAGGACTTTGGGGTGGCCCAGATTCATACCGTGGAGTGTGATACTCTTTACGCCTTGTGTCTAGCTTGATGGACATCCTGTAACTTCTTTTCTATTGCAGGACAGATGGAACAAAACACCACTTTTCAGTTTTGGGTGTTAGCTGATTTTATGGCACTTCCTCCCAACCAACCTCCCTTCGTCTCTTCCTCCCTTCCTGCCCTTCCTTTCTCTCTTTCTTTTATCCCTCTATTCTCCTCCCTTCCTTACAATAGTGAACAAAAAAAAGTCCTATAGACCAAATATAGTGAAGGTCTCATTTCCTCCATCCCATGAGGAGGTGGCCAGGGTCATCATTTCCTGGCTTTCCTCCTAGAGACACGCAGGGCCTAGAGGGCCAATATGTCTATTTCACCCCCCTTTTCCCCTCCCTCCTGCTTCTCCATTCCTTCCCTCCCCCACCCCCCCACTTGAACAGTAAGATACTTTCCCACTACTTCATCTGGCTTTTTCTCTAACAGCACATCTTGTGACTCATCCCCTAAGCTTTTCTGCACTGCTGTCTCCTTTTAAGATTTATGAAGAATGAACAAATCCACATGATGCAAAAGCAGAACAGTAGAGGGAAAGGGGGCTTCGGTGAAAGGTCTCCATTCTGCCCATTTCTTTCACATTTGTTTCTTGTTGAGTCTTCCTTTTCTCTGTTCCTGCAAATGAAAACATGTTCTTACTTTCACAGAAGGGAGCACTTAATGCATATGCTTCGTACCTTTTTTTATAGGGTACATCCCCCGCGTCCATATGTCTGCCCAGTGTCACCCATCCGTCCGTCATTCAGTCCATGGTCCGGTGATGGCCTCTTGGGCTTTTCACTGAGCAGCACTTGTAGGAGGCTGTTCTGGATCAGCGTACACATGCCCTTGCACATAGTTGTGTATACTCCATGGTAGACAATCCATCTGTCCTTCAAAGGCCGTGGGCTTTTCTCAGCCTCTCTTTGCTCGGTGCACAAGTGTGACTCTAGCTGATATTTTGTTGCTTCTCTGGAGGATGGAGGGTGTGGTGGGCCCAGACGCCATCATACATGGCCCTTTCTCATGCTTGCACTGATCTGTCATCTCTGGCTTCTCTCTTGCAGCAACTGACCAACCACATCCGGGAGTCACTGCCAACCTTGCGCAGCAAGCTGCAGAGCCAGTTGCTGTCCCTGGAGAAGGAGGTGGAGGAATACAAGAACTTCCGGCCCGACGACCCCACACGTAAAACCAAAGCCCTGTTGCAGTACGTCTGTCCTCTCCCAACCTAGCTCACTGGGGCCTCCACCCAGCCACAGGGTTCCAGGTCTAGGCTGGGACCAATCCTCATTCATCCATCTGTTCATTCAACAAACATCTCCCAAGGGCCACCTGTGTGCCAGGCCCTGTCCTGAACCCTGAGGTCACCTCAGTGAATGTATTCCAGTCTGATAGAATACAGTATCCTTCCTGCCCCATGTGATCAGAAAGGGGAGATGGGGAAAGATGAGACAAAATAAGTAAATAAAATATATAGTGTGTGAAATGTCAAAAAATGTTAGAGTGGGTAAGAGGCTAGAGAGCACCAGTGTGGGCATAGCGTGCCATTGAAAATACCGTGGTCAGGTCTAGCTGGCGTGGCTCAGTGGTTGAGCATTGACCTATGAACCAGGAGGTCACAGTTCATTTCTCAGATCACATTCCCGGGTTGTGGGCTCGATCCCCAGTGGGGAGTGTGCAGGAGGCAGCCAATCAATGATTCTCTCTCATCATTGATGTTTCTATCTCTCTCTCTCTCTCTCTCTCTCCCCTCCTCTCTGAAATCAGTAAAAACATATTTTAAAAAAAGAAACTAGAGTGGTCAAGAAGGCCTCTCTAAGTCCTTGGGAGTCAGGCAAAGACCTGAAGAGGTGAGGGAGGGAGCCACAGAGAGCCCTGGATGGGGCCCAGCCAGTGCAAAAGTCTTGAGGCAGGACTGTGTCCAGCATGTTGGAGGTCCATGTGGCTGGAGCGGAGTGAGGGAGGGAGGGTGGGAAGAGGTGAGGGCAGAGTGTGCAGGGCCTTGCTGAACATGGGGGAGGACTTTGGCTCTTGCTCTGAGTGCAGTGGGAGCCATGCTTGGTTTTGAGCAGAGAATGGGATGGCCTGACTCGGGTGCTGACAGGCGCCCTCTGGCGGCTGCAGGGAGGGCAGACATGGAGGGGGTGGGACCAGACCCGTGTTAGCTGCGTTTGCTTGATCTCTTTGAATCCTCACCCTGACTATTGAGTCCAGCTCAGAACTGTAGGCGACTCCCTGCAGCTGTGCAGCCGAGAGGCAGGGGAGCGGGTGTCCCACCATCGCAGGTTCTTACTTGGGGCTCTTCCTTCCCCAGTATTCTCAGTTTTTGCCCTGCTAGGGACCATAAGTGCCACAAGGACTTGGTTAGAGTGAGTTCCAGAAACTCCCTGGCAGCTCATGTGGCAGGTGGTGGCACGCACAGGACTCCTACAGGCACACCAGAGGGGCACTGCCCCCATGACCATCTTAGGCCTGACGTCCCCTCCCTCTCAGCCATTGGGCGGTGCATGGGGGCGGGATCTGGATGAGAATGCTTTTATGCTCAGTCAAGCTCAGCTGCATTCTGCAGAGCTTTTTTTTTTTTAATATATTTTTAATGATTTCAGAGAGGAAGAGAGAGGGGGAGAGAGATAGAAATATCAATGATGAGAGAGAATCATTGATTGGCTGACCTCTGCACTCGCCACACGGAGCCAAACTGGCTAGGGCCACAAAGCTTTCTACAGAGCAAATGCTGGTCCTTCGTAGACTTGAAGAGGAGATTTAGTCTAGCATGTGCTGCAACCTGGGGGTAAGCCTGGGTCTGCTGGGCTTCCCCTGGCTGGTGACCATGCCTCTCTGAACCTTGTATTCCTTACCCCTAAATGAAGGTATGAAAGGGAGACATCGAACAGTTGCCTCCTGTGTATGCCCCAACAGGGGATTGAACCCACAACCTAGGTATGTGTTCTGACTAGGAATTGAACCTGCCACCTTTTGGTGTTCAGGATGACGCTCCAACCAACTGAGCCACCCAGCCAGGGCAAAAGTGTTTTTTAATTAAGGCATGTACGTTGTTTTTTTAAACATAATGTTATTGGAACGCTTAGTGGACTGCAGTATCGTGTAAAAGTAACATATATGCCCTGGGAAACAAAAAATTTCTCATCACTGGCTTTATTGTGATATTTGCTTTATTGCAGTTATCTGGAACTGAACCTGCAATATCTCCGATGTCTGTCAGTGCTTGAGTAGACCAAGAATTTGGGAGGCAGAGATGAGGAAATGATTAAGCAGACAGTGTAAGGGACTGGGGGGAGCAATTAGAAATGCCAAGGAAAATCGAGACACTAGTAAATATCTTAGATCTTTACTGTTCACATGGTCACAGCATAATTAGCAAAACTTACCACTTTGTAAGGGCTAGGCTGGGTTCTCAGGGGCCAGTCGTGGTATTAGCACATTTTGTCAATTATGTGACATTTTGACTTCTCTGAATTCAAAAGTTTTAGGAGAATCACCGTGATTTGACAGCATTTTTAATTTTTTTGTGGGAGCATGGACTAGGATTGTATTTTAGGATTAGTGACTTCTTGGAAGTTGATGAAACCTAGAAACTTGTTGAATCCTCAGTGACCTTGTGTGGAGGTGCTGGTATGATCAACCCACTTTCCAGATGAAGGAACTGAGGCTCAGAGGGACAAAGGCCTCAGCCTATAGTGGTGGAGTGCCGACCCACGTGCTGGGAGGTGGCGGAAGCCACCTGAACGATGTGAAGGAACCACCATTTCACTCTGTGATCCTGTCGGATTAGGCCAAACCTCAGGGCAGCGGTGAGGTTGCTAAGTTGTGACCCCCACACCTCGTTCTTGTCATCTGCAAAATGGAGTATTAACTGCACCCCCTTCAGTTCAGTGAATGATCGTAGCAGGCATATAGAATGGGCCTGGCATGTAGCGAGTGCTTGCCACCTGCAGCTCCTGAATTTTGTTTATTTTTTTTTTATGTGCACATAGATTTTGTTCCTAAAAATGAAAAGAGGGAACTGAACCATGGCTTGACTCAGGACATCACACCGAAGCTTTGTTGAAACCTCTGCTTAATGTTCGTGTTTTCTTTTTCCTCGTAGGATGGTCCAGCAATTTGGGGTGGACTTTGAAAAGCGGATAGAGGGCTCTGGAGACCAAGTGGACACGCTAGAGCTCTCTGGGGGCGCCCGAATCAATCGCATCTTCCATGAGCGGTTTCCCTTCGAGCTGGTGAAGGTAGTGCGGCAAGGGCAGGGCCCTCCTGTCCCTGGTCAGGCACCCGTCTGCTTGGCCTTGAGCCCAGCCTCCTTCCAGAGCTTTCCATCTTGAGCTCTGGCCTTCATGCCTGAGCCCGTCCTGAGTAGTGCATGGCCCAGGGAGGCGTCCCCTATGGTTTCCTTCCCTGAGCAGGCAGCTTAGAACTTTCCAGCAGAGCTGTACAAGAAGTTTCATTTGTTTTTTCCTCTGACAAAAGCCAATACAATGTATTTCCTTTGCAAAATACATAGAAAATAGGGGGAAATTCATATGTCCTTAGCAGGTTGCAAAAAGGAGAAGGAGGTGGTGGACCCAACATGTGCAGCCTAACACATAGATAATATTTGTAATATCCTTCCATACGAAATTATACCTGTGTGTCTTGATGTGTGTATTTGCATAGATCTGTAAGGATCTTACAGTTCTTACAGTTCTCGGAGCTAGAATTTGAGATTTTTTCTTTTAATATATTTTATTGATTTTTTTACAGAGAGGAAGGGAGAGAGATAGAGAGTTAGAAACATCGATGAGAGAGAAACATCGATCAGCTGCCTCCCGCACACTCCCCACTGGGGATGTGCCCGCAACCCAGGTACATGCCCTTGACCAGAATCGAACCTGGGACCTTTCAGTCCACAGGCCGACGCTCTATCCACTGAGCCAAACCGGTTTCGGCAGAATTTGAGATTTTTAAAAACAATTTGCTTGAACTTTTTAAAAATTTCTTTTATGGATTTTAGGGAGAGGAAGGGAGGAAGAGAGAGAAATATCAATCATTGATTGGTTGCCTTCCGCATGTACCCCGACAGGGAATCAAACTTGCAACTTGGGTATATGCCCTGACCAGAAACTGAAACCACCACCTTTTGGTTTATGAGACGACGCTCCAACCACACTGGCCAGGGTGTAAAAAATGTGCTTGAACTTTTTATTTTTTAATATATTTTTATTGATTTCAGAGAGGAAGGGAGAGGGAGAGAGAGATAGAAACATCAATGATGAGAGAGAATCATTGATCGGCTGCCTCCTGCACGCCCCTACTGGGGATTGAACCAGCAACCTGGGCGTGTGCCCTTGACCACAATCGAACCTGGGACCCTTCAGTCCACAGGCCTATGCTCTATCCACTGAGCTAATCCAGCTGGGCGCTAATTCTTTATTAATTCCTCAAGATAAATTTCTAGAGCATTTAAAACTACCAGGTGACACTGTAGGTATATATGTTTTTATTTTTAGGTATATTTTTGGAGGTTCTTAATTTGTAGTGCAAGTGGCCCCCAAAAAGTTTTTATATGAGTTTATGTTTCCTCTAAGAGCAAGAGTGTTAGTTTCACAGCATTCTTGCTGATAGTAGGTTTTAATATTTTTAAATTTTTTGACCAATTTAATATTCAGCCATGTGAATACAGATGCACACAGGAAACAACATTCTCCAAATAAACATAAACACCTGTTCTGAAGGTGCCCCAGGTACATCCTTGCTAGTGTTTGGTTTCTCTGTTCTCAGATGGAGTTTGATGAGAAAGACTTAAGACGGGAGATCAGCTACGCCATTAAGAACATTCATGGTGTCAGGCAAGTTCCACAGGGAGCGTTGCCATTGTTCCCTTTATCTTTGCGGTGCCATTCTCTAGTCAGTCTGTCCCCCCAAACCTCTGGGTGCCCTGATTGTGGGGTCTTGACAGGGTTCCTTGGTGGTCCTCGGTAGCCATACTCTCTCCAAGGGCACTTGAGGGTGGATGGGCTCAGTCCTGTGCGAGTAGGTCATGGGTCACAGAACTGTCTGCTGCCCTTGGATTAAACATTGGTAAACCCCCCAGTCAGTTGGCATGAGCCCGAGTTACTGTAGTCATCCAAGAAAGCTCTCTGCATATTTGCCCTGGGGGTGGGGGTGGGGAGCCAGAGCTGAGTCATGATTACAGGAATTCAGTGTTTGAACCCATCCTGGGCTCCCTCCGTGTTCCAACAAAAATAGTCCCTCCAGTCACCCAGTCTCACATCACCATGGGGTCCTCAGGTTGCCCTGGGCTTCCAGGTAGTGGACACAGGCATCTGACCCCTAGACTTGCCATGACCTTGGTTCTTTCGTGGGAACCCGGCCCCTGCCTGTGAGATTGCTGACCATGCTTTGTTTTTCTCTGACTTATCTCCCCTGCCCCCGGGTTTGGATGGTTTTAGGACCGGGCTCTTCACCCCGGACCTGGCATTCGAGGCCATTGTGAAAAAGCAGGTCGTCAAGCTGAAAGAGCCCTGTCTGAAATGTGTCGACCTGGTTATCCAGGAGCTAATCAATACAGTTAGGCAGTGTACCAGTAAGGTATTGGCCCCTCGGCAGGGGACTCCTGGCCGTGTGGAAACGGGGGTTCAGGGCTTTGGTATCAGGCTCCCGGTGCTGCTTCAGCCTGTGCCCCGTGGTGCCTTCCCCCTGCCTCCAGATTGCCTTGGTTTCCAAGAATGTGGCATCTTCCCAGAGGCTGGGGCAGGGGCATGTCGGCCTAGGTGCAGCGGGTAGGGAGGGGAGGGGGGGAGGGGGAGGTATCAGGCCTCCAGAACTGGCCATACTTTTGGGCAGGGCTCCCTGGGACCCTGATACCAAGCCTAGCATGTGTCTGATGGCATTGGGGTGTCATTGGGCTGTCGCTTTGCTGCCTTCTGAGAAACAGAGAGGGACCCCGCATCAGCTGCTGGAGGCCAAGCTCCCTGAACCTCCCTGGCTGTCAACTCCTCCTTGAGTGACACCTTTGGGCTTCCCTGGAGCCAGTCATGTTTCTGTCCCCCGGGTGCCAAGAAGGCCCAAACACTAACGTATAATGAGTGCTTGGGTCCCAAACTGGCCCGGCTCCTAACTGCCTCCTCTAGTTCCCTTGCTTCCCCAGGAGCAGTGCTATTCCCCCAGGCAGCCGGTCCTCAGATCCACTAGGTCACAAGTGCCTATGTGCTTGGGCCACTGCTCCCCCAGCAAGACATGCTGCTTCCCCCGAGGGCCTGGCTCCCAGGGCAGCATGCTTTGGCCGAGCAGCTGAAGCGCTTCTCGATGGGCAGTTTGTGCTTGCACGTCCACGATGGCCATAGAGCTCGGGGTCGGCCTTCCTAGGCAGGCGATTTCTGCTTGAGCTTCTGTTCTCAGTCTGGAAAAGCCCACATTTGCTTCTTAAGCTTCTTCGATTGGAAAAGGAAGGGGAAAGAAACCCAGGTGGGCTGGAGATGGTCATCCTGGAGCCCGTTGTCGCAGATAATGAAAACACAAAGCGTCCCCACACCCATAGCCATCGGCACGAGGACACTGACCCTCAGCACTTCTGTGATTAAACCCAGACCAAATCCACCCCGGGACCCAGATGCCTCTTTGATCCGAAGCAGCTTCCGGGGCAAATGCGGGCACAGGCTCCTCCATGCATGTCACTAACCAACTGACTCTCGTTTCTCTCTCTCTCTCTGTCTCTCTCTCTCTCTCTCTCTCCTCTCCCTCCCCCATCCCGGGTGTGTGGCCTGCACTGTCCCTGGGTGTCTCTCTACTGGTCCCACCCTTCGCATGACCCAGGACGGGGCTCTTCACCCCTGACATGGCCTTTGAAGCCATTGTGAAAAAGCAGATTGTAAAGCTCAAAGAGCCGAGCTTGAAGTGTGTTGATCTCGTGGTCTCAGAACTGGCCACGGTCATTAAAAAGTGTGCCGAGAAGGTAACAGAAGGTTTTATTATTATCACCTACGCATCTGTCCCCCATCTCCCTCTGTTGTTAGTCTTAACCCGCGCATCTGGGAGACTGTCTCGGATGGATCCCCTCTGCATAGGCCAGTTGTCACTTAACGACATCTCAGCTCTGCATTGGCAGACAAAACGGAGCGAGATGCATCACATGTGTGTGCCACCTTTGCAATTTGGGCTACTGAAGGGGCTGGGAGGCCGGTGTGTTGCCAAAAGCATTTACTCAGCAGGCAGTGGGGTGAGGGTCAATGCCTGTTCCTGAGACCCTGCGAGAAAGGGGGTTTCCAAACGGTCACCAAAGCAGTAAAACGTTGCCATGTGCAGACCTTCATGTTCTACGTCACGGGACATTTACTGAGTTTTCATCAAGTCATTTTGACTGTCCAACTCAATTTTCTTCAAAATTGAGCTTAACCCAAACTGCAGAAGGTGGCTCTTCATGTGCTGGCTGGAGCTCTGGGGGTGTTAGAGGAGTGGGTTCCACAGATGAGATGATGAGGAACGGTTTTCTACAAGGGGATCCCTCTGAGATAGATGACCCAGATGCCAACCCACCATCTTAGAACAGTCGCTGTGCGCTCACGAACCGGGCAAGGGCACTCATCCCAGTGACCGGTGACTTTAATTATAATCAGTGTCCTCACTCCCACCCAGTGCTGGGCGGGAGTGGGATGGCTGTCACCCACATTCTCTGCCACTTTCCAACTCTAAATCGCATTCTCAAAAAGCATCTTTGCTTGTGCACGGGGACCCTGTCACTCTCCGGCCCACCGTCCCCCCACTGTCCCCTTGTCTCCCAGCTGAAGCAGCTATGAGACAGGGGTGGGGTGGGGACGCGGTGGGCCCACCATGTCACCCGCCTTCCCCCGTGTTTTCTGTGTAGTTCACATTGCTGCCCATGCCACGAGGACCCAGCCAACTCTGCCACTCTGCTTTCCCCTCAGCTCAGCTCCTACCCCCGGTTAAGAGAGGAAACAGAGCGAATTGTCACCACTTACATCCGAGAACGGGAGGGGAGAACCAAGGACCAGGTATTGGCTTTTTGTTTTAATTTTCAGGTATAATTTACTTGCAGTAAATCTTGAGTGTCCAGTATTTGGGGTTTTGACAAATGCGTGCAGTAACCCCCACCTCAGTCACAATATAGAACGGCTCTATCACCCCTCCAAAACGCTCATCCTTTGCCCTTTTGCTGTCAACCCCTGCCTGACCCCCAGGTCCTGGCAATCACTTGGCGGCTTCCTGTCCCTCTGGTTTTGCCCTTTTTCCCAGAATGTTTTGTGAATGGCCTCCTGTACTACATAGCCTTTTGATTCTGACTTCCTTCTTTCATCCCTGTTGTTTGTGGTATATCTGCAGTTTGTTTTTTAATCCTCACCTGAGGATATGTGGTTTTTTAAATTGATTTTAGAGAGAGAGGAACTATGGGAGGGAGAGAGAGAAACATCAGTGTGAAAGAGAAACTTCATTTGGTTGCTTCTCGTACCTCCCCTCCCCAAACTAGGTATGTGCCCTGCCCAGGAATCGAACCCACAGCCCTTTGGTGTACAGGATAACACTCCAGCCATCTGAGCCACTGGTCCGGGCTGAAGTTCGTTACTTTTGATTGCTGAATGTGTGGCCCACAGCTCGCTTATCTGTTTGCCTGCCAGAGGACATGAGGGTGCTTTTTGTGGTTTAGTTTTCCTGTGGAGACCATCCAAGCACACACAGAGGTAGAGAGGGGGTTCCTCCAAGCAGTCGCAGTGGGAGTCTCCCCTGTTCCCTGCTCTGTGTGCTGAGGGCCCTCATTCCTCCTTCATGCGCCCCAACGCCTGGTCTGTCACTTTCCCTCCGTTGTCTGCTGGGGTCTCGTGGCAGCTGTTTGTTAAACCAGAACCAAAACAAGCCGACGTGTTGTGTTTGGTTGTATGTCACCTGTATAGAATGGTTTTTCTCCCCTCGACATTGATGGAGAAAACTGGCTCATTTGTTCTTCAGAGGATCCCCCGTCAACCTGTGCCCTGTTTCCTCGGGGCTTCTGTAGCCTAGAAGCTGAATCAGAAGCTTGAGAGAGTCCAGTTCGTTTTGTTGTCGTTGCCGTCAAGGATGCTGCTTCCCTTCCATAGACACCATGGCCCCTGGTTGCCTCCCTGTCGACACTGCTGGGCTTGATGCACTGGCTCCGGGATAGTGGGGTTCAGGCTTTATAAAACTAGCAACAGTGGAGCACCCCAGCCTTTTCCAGCAACCCCACAGGGTCTGACCTACTGGCTGGCCTGTTTTATGCTTGAGGGCTTGGAGGCACAGTGAGGTGATAGGAAGGGGCAGGGTACTGTGTAAGGGCCTATCCCTTATCTCTGATGACATCCCCACTGGCGTGTGTGTGTGTGTGTGTGTGTGTGTGTGTTTCATTTTCATGTCCTCACCTGGCCAGATTATCTTTGCTGTTTAAATGTAGCACTTATGAAATGCCAGGTGCTAGCTAACGACTTTACATATTATGACTTATTTAACTCCTTGAAGTGGGCCTCTTGTGCCCGTTCCACAACTTGGTAACATGGGGCCCAGGGTCACACAGCTGCCTGGCTGAGCCAAGCCTGCAGCCCAGGTAGTCAGCCCCAGAGGATGTGCCAGTGACCGTGGCTTCCTCTCTCTGTTTGGTCGGCTCAAACTTAACTTAGTTGTGAGTCCCTGATGTCTGGAAGCACCTGTGTGTCCCTTCCCCCTACAGATGTACCCCCGGTGTATTTTGGAGGGGGGAGATGTGCCCCTGTTGTGCCCGAGAAGCAGCGTGGTTCCGCACCCACACCCCACCCCTATGTGAAAAGTGCTTTATCTGCTGCCCCTGCCTGCCATGCTGGGCTCTATACAGATGCTGCTTAGATTACAATGAGTTTATCGGGATGTAACAATGAGGTTACATCTGATAACCTCATGGTAAATTGAAAATAAAGTAACCTGAAAATGCATTTAATACACCTAAACTTTTGAACATTATAGCTTGGCCAGCCTACCATAAACGTGTTCAGAATTAAATGAGCCTACGATTGGGCAAAATCATCTAATACAGTGAATGGACTATAGAGCAAGCATGTCAAACTTGTGGTCCGTGCGCCACATGCCTCATTTGTTTGGCCCGTGTTAGCCTTTGAGTTTGACATGCTTGCTGTAGAGTATTGATTGTTGACCCTCATGCTCGTTTGGCTGACTGGGAATTAGGTCTTGCTGCCCAGCATCATGAGAGAGTATTGTGTTACATATCACTAACCCGGGAAAAGATCAAAATCCAAAGTGTGGTTTCTACCGAATGCTAACCACTTTCACACTGTCATAAAGTCAGAAAGTCATGTCGGGGACCATGTGCACTCACCGGACTTCTGCTTTCCCTCCCCTCAGATCCTTCTTCTCATCGACATCGAGCAATCCTACATCAACACAAACCACGAGGACTTCATTGGATTTGCCAAGTATGTACCGGTGGGCACAGCGGCTGATGGGCTGGCCCCAGTCCACCCTCAGTTGGGATTCCCTCTGAGAGCTGGAGCGTGAGGGTCTCTGTGTCGGGGTCCTGGGGTGAGAGTGTCTGGAAGGTTGCCTGGCCCACCCCATTGTCCCCACTGCCTCTCCTGTGAGGGCACCAGAGGTTTAAGGAAGAAAGTGCAGTCCTGGGGTCAAGTTCATGAGGAAAGGACAAGGCTCGCTGGCATCAGTGCTTCCTTGCCTGAGGCCCTTCTCAGAGCCTGTCATAGCTCCTGTGCAGCTCTCCCAGACTCCGTGTGCACTGGCCCTTTCACAGAGGCTCATGGGTCAGGGCTGCCCTGCATCGCCACGGCTTCCATTTATTTTTTTATTTATATTTAATCCTCACCTGAGGATATTTTTCATTGATTTTTAGAGAGAGTGGAAGAGAGAGAGAGACACCAATGTGAGGGAAACACATCGATTGGTTGCCTCCTGCACAAGCCCGACCAGGGCCCAGGCTGGGAGGAGCCTGCAACTGAGGTACGTGCCCTTGACCAGAATCGAACCCAGGACCCTTCCATCCACAGGCCGGCGCTCTATCCACTGAGCCAAACCGGGTAGGACTCCATTTATACACTGTAGATTTAAAACCAGAACCTTCCATGGAACCTGGATAGATAAGGGGCTAGAGCAGGGCGCTCTGATTTCAGCAAAATGTAGGTATAAATGCTGGTGGTCTCAGGCATCTCCCACTGACTCCTTCAGCCCTTGTGCCCTCTCAGTAAGCTTGGGTGTCATATGGATTGTTCTGGTGACTCACAAAGGTTTTCTTGCCTGAGCCCAATAGCATAACAGGCCATTGGTGGCCAACTCCCTTGTATCATTTAGCAAATATTATCTCTCTGTGCCAGGCCCTGTGACACAGCAGTGAGCAAGCATAGGCCCAGGTCCCCACCCTCAAAAGAAGGTCCCATGCCAGGGACAGACGTGCACCTGGACAGTTAGGATACAGTGTGGTCAGTGCTGGGGCAGGGACTGTAGGGCCCATGGGAGTCCAGAGGGCGGCCTTCTGGCCTGACCTTGGGGGTGCAGGGAGGCATCTTTGAGGAGGCACCTGCTAGAGCCCAACCTTGGGCTAGCAGGCTGCAACAAGAGGGTCTTTCTGTCGGGGGATTCTCTGTTGTGCTAAGTAGTTACCAGGTAGAACATTTATCAGTGCACTCAACACAGTTAATTGAGCAGCTGTTCTGTGCTGGGCACATGGTAGGTGAGTAGAATGAATGAATAAGGGCATGATCATAAACTTCAGGCCCCAGCTGAGTAATCCCTGCTGGGAGTGGGCTGGGGGACACAGGCCATGGGCCACCCCCATGTGTTTCTCAGAGCCTGGGAACAGCCCCTCCTCCTATCCCCAGCAGCCAGTTGTATGTAGGCTGAAAACACTGGTCCTCCCTGTTCGGTTTGCTGCTGTTTTTCTCACCTTGATATCTCTGCTTCTCACACTTCATCCACAGTTCCTTCTCACAATTTCTCCTGTTTTTCCTTTGACCACTCCTCTCTTTCCTCTGGATTCCTGCGCCTTCCCACCTCCCCCAGCTGTTACTATACTGAGCAGCTGGTGACCTGGTGGGTATTGCCTGCTGTGTGCCTTTTCCCTGGTGTGTGAACAGCTGGGGGCGGGGCCCAGGGTGCCAGGCTCCGCCCAGCCTAGGTATAAACCAGGGCCCCAGGCCTAGGTGGGATATCCCAGGGTCCCACTGAACAACCATGGAGCACTGTTTCAGGGCCTTTGGACTAGGACAGTGAATAAGCCAGACTTGGGACTTGCCCCTTCAGAGCCCACAGGCTGGGGACACGTTGTCATTGAGCAAATTGTCACAGAGAAAATGAGAATTGGAAAGGTGAGGGGTTGTGGAAAGGGGAACAAGGGATGCGTCCTGGAGAGACCTTCTCAAGGAAGTCCTGACAGCCAGGTGACAGGCGGGGTGCATCAGAGAGCGTTAGAGACGGAAGGAAGGCCGAGAAGCCAGGAGCATGGGACCAGCACAAGGTGAAGGTGAGAGGCCAGCCCCATCACCGGGAGGGCCCTGGAAGCTGGGGGGAAGTCTCTTCCTGGGGGCAGGCAAGGGAAAGGTGCAGCCGTGTGGGCTGCCCGACAGGCAGGGAGCCAGGAAGCCCGGAGGAAGTAGCACATCCAGGACCTCTCTAGCACCCAGGCCCTGCCGTGAGTGGCTTAGCTTAGTCCTGTCTTCTTTAGACACGTTTGGTCAAACTTCTTTGCTTGGATGTTCTGGGCTGCTTTCCCATGGCCTCTCCACACTAAAACCCAAAGCATAAACTCACTGAACATTAGGAAAATTATTGGGTAAAATTCCATCTCCATTCTTAATATTTTTAACTTTTACTGATCAGGGAACAGAAATTTATTCCCTTTTTGCATGTGTACATGCACACACTCTCTCTCTCTCTCTCAATTTATCCAACAGCCAACTCGAACTTTAATGTAAAACTCCAGAGGCAGTGAGTAAAAGAATGAAACAGGATGGTTTGCCTTTTCATACTGTTCTGGAAGTTCCAGCTAAAACAATACGATAAGATATGACATTAGGACAAACAAGTGAGCTAAGTAGGTGCGAGATACATGACCTTCATCTGCACTCATCATTTCCTGGCATGCACTAGCCTGGAAACAGGGTAGAATAAGAAGAAAAGCTATCTGGGACTGTAGATAAATAAGGGATCTTGTAGAAACATGCCCTATGGACCTTGACTGTCCTCTGGTCTGGGGCAGGAGCCATCCAAGATGAGTGATGTTTATTGATAAGCAGCTGTCCCACGGTCTGATCGCCCAGGTCTGACAACACCGTGGTCAGAGCTACTTAGGACTTACTGCTAGGGGTAGGGGTAGGAATTGAGAGCGGGAGATAGCCTCAAGTTTTTGACCCCTAAGTACTCAGAAGCCATCATGGCTGACTTTGAGCCACCTGGGACTCCAGCTCCTCATGCCATTCTCAGAGGCTCCAGTACCCAGTCACTTTGGAAATAGCTGGTGCTCTTAGGAGTGGCAGAGATCAGGGCCGAGAAGCCTCAGTGTAATTCCATACATTTTCTACTTCCACGAACCTGAGCTTGTTCCCTTGGGCAGCCCTTTGTGTGCAGGCAGCTTCTCCCTGACTGCCGTTAACTGGTCACTGGCCCCCTCGTGTGGTAAAGAACCCCACCTGGGCCATGAGGGCCTCTTGCTCCCTGTCCCTCCCAGCTTCTCACCTGCATGAGCCTCTCTGTGCTTTGGTTTCAGCGCCCAGCAGAGGAGCACACAGCTGAACAAGAAGAGAGCCATTCCCAACCAGGTAACCACCCGTCTAGGGCCCGCAGCTCCACCCTCAGGGGAGCGGGCGGGAGGGCACTAAGGGACCACTGAGCCTTGCAATGGCACCTGGTGTGTGCATGCCCCACAGATCCTCACCCTGCAGCCTCTTAAGTCCACTTAGGTTGTGATGCTTCAGGAAACTGGTCTGAGAGCCAAAGCTCTGGCAGGGCCAAGGGGGCAGATTTTATACACCTGTGAGTCCCTGTCTGAACATCCAAGGCCCTCAGGGCAGCACAATCACCCATGGTGTCTGTGGCCACCATGGGTTCTCGGCCCCAAGGACTAGGAGCCTGTGGGAGGCTGCATTGGGAAAAGAGTTCCATGGTTGACCCCACCTGTGGAAAAACCATAAGTCACTCACAGAGTTTTCTACCTTGTTGATGTAGCCCCAGCCAGAAGCCGTGAAATAAGAACAGCTTTATATATTTACCACTGTTAGTTTTTTGGGTTTTTGAGAATATCATCATCTTTCTGCCCGTGTCCCCTGCTTCTCCACATCATACAGGGTGGGGACTCTGCTATTTATCTTGCACGATTATCAAGCCCTCTGGAAAAGAAGGGTGTAACCACTGCATGATTTTTTTTTTGTGCTTGTTGATACGTATGTTGTTGCTTTTTTGTTTCAGGAAATGATAATGAATTAAATATTAACACCATGAATATAATTAATAGCATGTAATTTTTTTCTTTTGCTGTTTTTTTCCTCTGCTCTTCTCTCTTCCCATTTGTGTGCCTTTCCTGCTTTTTCTCTGTCCCCTCATGTCCCTTACGTCTCTTTCTCTCTGCCTGCTCTTCTTTGATTTACCTAACTTTGCATTTTCAAAGGGGGAGATCTTGGTAAGTACCCACTTAGTGTGGTAGCAAACGTTAGAGAATGTCATGGTGGTGGAGACCCCCCACTCCTTAACATTCCCTTCCCCTCAAAATAAAAAACAACTAACAATCAAGCTAACCTGAACCTCCCTGCCACAGCCTGTGTCTGATGTCATGTTGCCCTGGGCATAAGCAGACTTAACACAAACTAACCTGACCGTTGCCCTGGAGGAAGGCCCCCCTCCAGCCCATGCCTAACATGTGGACCTGGTTTCCTGTAGGTCAGGGATGGCAAATACTTGACTAATACCCCTCCCTCCCTTCCCTCTATCACATCCTTCTCAGAAGATTTTGCTCAAGCTCTGCTGGAACTTGCCACTGCCACCACTTTGTCCCCAGTGCAGACATCACCGTGGGGAAAATGTCCCCTTCCTGTGCTCATGGCAGACATTACTAATTGATCTA